TGACAGCTCAGACCCTGGAGCCTGCTTTGGATTCTGCATCTCCCCCTCTTTCTGCGCCTCCCACACTCATGCTCTGTCTCTGTCTCTTGATAATAAATAAACGCTAAAAAAAATTAAGAAAAAAAAAGAATTTAGATATATTAATGCATTCTTTTTCAAGGTATGGATCACAGCACATTAGTGGATCTTGTCACTTCCCTAAGAAACCATCACAAAACCTACCACAATGAGAGACAACCTCTGTAACAGATTTAATGCACTGTCTTAGAAGGGAGAGTTCAGGAGAGAGTATGTATAGTGCTTGAGGATCTGGGCTTAAAAGGTTTAAGGCATGACTATCAAGATGGGGAATTGATCTGTATTAGACAAAATTCATTACATGTATTTGAGGATTGGTGGATGCAGTAAGGAGAGGGTCTTGAACTGCATCTTGATGAATGAACTATTATGTGATAAGCTATTTGCCCTGTTGAGTAATCTATTATCTTGATTGGAGAACAGGTTACCCAAATTGTCTAGGTAAATCAGTTTGCAGAAATTTCTGTAGCAAACACTGAAGTAAGTTATAGCCTTACCTTTTTGAGCAAGAATTTTCTGAAACGGTTATTTTGACATTGGTGTTCTCAGACCTGATAATTAAGCTATATGGAGGCAGGCTGTCTCAACTCACGGTCTTGAGATGAGCTTAGTAGGACATGACCTACAGTTTAAAAAGTAAGAGACTGTAAAATTGAAAATTTCTATTTTGTAAGTATTACTTCATTATAATTTATTTCAGTTATATAACTGTGCACATGTGTACTGGATCAAGATGGCAAAATGTAAAAACATTTTTTAAGGATCTGGATCAAAAAAGTTTATGTTATATACTCATTGGGCTCAGTTCATTTATTATAATACTGTTCTTAGTATTCCCAAATCAGAATTCATTAACATTTGAAACTAGCACCAAGAACCTATCACAAGACAACAGACTTAAGTTTTTTGTCCCAATTTCATATTGCCAAAATAACACAGGGTACTTTATCTTTTTATCAGTATTGTTAAAAATTAACTTATATACAACAGTGGGCGTTTTAATGTGCTAGCAGTTTACTGGTATTTAAGTATTATATTCTGTGAGGAAAAGAAAAATAGACTTTATACTTCTGTAAAGAATTTAAAATTTTTAAAATAATGACATAAAATGTATAGATCTCTGTTTCTCTTCTCCTCAAAGAAGGTAATACTTTACCACCAGTAAATTGCTAACACATTAAAAGGTCCATATGCATAGGTGTGCCTATTTCCTTGCTTACTCATTATCACTGGATATTATCCACTTTAAAAAAAAATATTTTCATCTGATGGGTGAAAATGGTTCAAAAGGCTCATATACATTTTTTCTTTACATACTTTATAGATGTCTGGCATTCAACTTGTAGAATCACTTTAAAGAATCCTTTGGAATTTGTTGTATTGTTTTGTTGCTGTACCGTTTTTTCCTGACAGATTAATTTGTCATTGTTTTCTACTTCTAGGAACTAGGCTCATCTAATTCAAAGGGAGTCTAATGAAAAGAAAATATTTTTCTTCTTTTCTAGCCTCTTCCACTCATCTGTTATTAATTTCTATGTCATCATTATTATTTGATAATTGAAACTATGTTGCTTTATTTTTAAACAGAACAACGATAAAAGCGAATTTCTATCAACAGCACCTAGTGGTATAAGGAAAAGATTAATAGGTATGTATTTCTTTTTAAACGAGTTTTTTGGGGCAACTGGCTAGCTCAGTCAGTTAAACATCCAGCTCTTGATTTTGGCTCAGGTCATGATCTCACGGTTTGTGAGTTCAAGCCCCGTATTGGTCTCTGAACTAAAGTTAAATATTTCAAAATCTCAAATCTGAGCTATTAGTGCAGAGCCTGTTTGGGATTCTCATTTTCTCTCTCCCCCTCTTTCTCTCTCCTCCCCTCCCCCTCTTTCTCTCTCCCTCCCCCACTTGCTTGTGTGGACACAGTCTCTCAAATAAACTTAAAAAAACAAAACAAAACTGAGTTTTTATAAAAAGAAGCACCTAAACGAGGAGCAGTAATAGTTAAGTATGTAGGTTCTAGTCTTAGACTGCTTGCTTTTTATCTTCAGTCTGCCACTTAGAGACCTCTCTATGCTTGTTTTTTTCATTTGCAAAACAAGGACAATAATGGTACTAGCCCCATAGTTCTGAGAGTAATGGGAATAAAAGATGTCAAAAGTACTTAGTATAGTGCTTGACTTTAATATGTGCTTAACAGGTGTTAGCTTTACTGTCTTTTTTTTTTTTTTTTTTTTTTTTTTTTTTTTAAGTAAGCTCTGCACCCAACATGGGACTTGAACACCCCAAGATCAAGAGTCGCATGCTTTACTAACTGAGCCAGCCAGGCACCCTCCTATTAGTATCTGTTATTGTCACTACTTAACTTCTTTTCATGAAAAGATATGTTCATTTCTTCAAGTAAACTGTAGATTCCTTCAGGCCAAGAACTCTCTCTTATATTTTTAACTCCAACACTTAATACTTATGTCTTTTACATTATAGTCAATAGATATTAAGGTTAGTTAAAATGTCTCTCCAATAAAATAACACACCTTTTAGGGTTTTTTTTGAGACAGTTTTGTAAGTGGTTTTATTGATTTGCTTAGAAATTTTATAATGAAACCAGTTTAAATATTCATAGTTGTACTGAATGCTATACAAAGCCAAGTAAACAGACATGGTCCTGCCTTCTAGGAAATTAAAAGTTATTTTAAGGGTGCTTAGGTGGCTCAGTCAGTTAAGCGTCCAACTCTTGATTTCAGTTCAGGTCATGATCTCACAGTTCGTGGGATTGAGCCCTTCATTGGGCTCTGTGCAGACAGTGGAGAGCTTGCTGGGAATTCTCTCTCCCTCCCTCCCTTCCTCCCTCCCTCCCTCCCTCCCTCCTTCCCTCCTTTTCTCTCTCTCTCTCTCTCTCAGAATAAATAAACTTAAGGAAAAGCAAAATTATTGTATCAACTCTGGGATGGAATGTGCCTATGTATTGATAGTTTTTATAGTAGCTACCATTTATTGAGTCAGGATGGCGTTTCCAGTATAGGCAGCAACAGAAAATTCTACGATAATGGCTTAAGCCATAGACATTTAATTATCTCACATCATGAGAAGCCTAGGGATACACAGTTCCATGGTTGAGTTACCTCAACAGTGTCGTAAAAGACCCAGGTTCTGCCTGTCTTCTTGCTTTACTACCAGCATTTTTCACCTTTTGGTTTGAATGCTTCATATTGCAAAATGGCTTCTATAGCTTTAAGCTATTGGTATAAATAAATGGCTTCCATAAGTGAGGGAAATCTTTCCCAGAAGCTTCTAGCAAATTTTCCCTCAAGTTTCATTGGTCAGAGGGTTACGTAGCCAATCCTAGATGCAAAAGAGGCGGGAAAACAAGTATCTGGCAAAGGAAAAGATAATTACCATGATTATTTATCCCTTAGGGTGAGACACATTGCCACATATTACAAAACTGTTCTGTTAGCAAGGAAGAAGGAAAGAGAATGATACTAGGTATGATTGGCATTTTCTGCCACAGTTCCTGGGTGTCAGGCATTGTTAGTTGCTTTATATACATTTCAATGTAGTCTTCACAGTGGTTCATTAAATTAGGCACTTTGAGCCTCATTTGATAAATGAGGGAACTAGTGCTCAGAAAACTTTATATAACTAGCTCTGGTGAAATCGTCAGCAAATCAGGACAAAAACCAGAAGTGAAATTCTCTTATTTAATATGCTCTTTCCATTACCCTTCAATGCCTCTCTTGTCAGACTGTCAAATTTTCCCAATTGCTTTTTTGCCCCACAGTTCCAAGGTCTCATTCTGACAGTGAAAGTGAATATTCTGCTTCCAACTCAGAAGATGATGAAGGAGTTGCACAAGAATATGAAGAGGACACTAATGAAGTCATATTGAGCCAAAAGATTCCATCTCAGAATAGAGTAGTTTCAGCTCCTGTTTGTAAAGGAACACCTTCTAAGAAAATGAAAAGAGATAAAACAGTAAGTGGAGACTTTAATCTTAAAGAAAAATTGTGCAGTATCTTAAAGATAAGCTACCCTAAGAAAAGAGATCCAAATGGGGGATTAATATATTTTTTTCCTTTACTTTTCTATATTTTCTCAGTCTTTCACATAAGTGCCCGTATATATTTGTGTCTATTTCTGAACTTTCTGTTCTGGCCTGTCTGCATCCATATTCATGTATCAATGCCATGTGCTAAAGCTGACATCTCAATTCAGTTGTATAAAAAATGAGCTTTTAAATAAATTTTGATTGGATAACTGGAAGCAAGACTTCTCAGTGTATACCTTTTTATATAGTTTTGTTTTTGTAACATTGTTGATATGGTCAAGTCAGTTTAAGTAGTAAGTGAAGTGCTGTGGGTCCATGTTGAGTTGTTTGAAAGAACATTGTAAGCACCATGACCTGAGGAAAGGCTAATTATCTGGTGTTTGGTGTAAAGAATCAGAGCAATGTAGGAAGCCTACTGCTTGAAAGGTTTTCCAGCCCTTCTTACCACCGTGGAGGTTAGTCTAGCCCCAAGTTCGTGGAAGAAGTAGTAAGCCATTTTACTGGAATGGTAGGCAGCTCTTTTTTTTTTTTTTACTCTGCTGTTGAGTTCTTCCTCATTTTCAGTTCCTTAGCTGTACTAATATTAACAGATTTGCTAGGACTGTGTGAGGCAAAATGAAGGTCCTGATCGTTAGCCACCTCCCCCCCTACTTTTTAAGTCTAAATAGAAATTTTATGTTGGAACTTAGGGATCATTTTTGTGAAGACTACTTCAATGTAGTCATTTCTTTTAACTTTTATGATCCTAAGAGTTACTCAGTTTTACTACTAGAATTAAATAGAATTAAGTTTGCTTGGTCCTTAATCTGTATTATCGCTGCAAAAAGAAAATGCTGCCAAATATTTCACATATCTTATTCTGTCTAGTTTTGATATAAATATCTGAAACTAAGAATTGATTTTGCTCTATCCACTTTCAGAGTGATTTAGTAGAAGAATATTTTGAAGCTCATAGCAGTTCAAAAGTTTTAACCTCTGACAGAACACTACAGAAACTAAAGCGAGCTAAACTGGATCAGGTATGTTGCAAGAAACGTTACTTCTACATTTTTTTTTTTTTATTGTGAGCTAAAAAATATACTGCATAAGCAGCAAATGTGAAGAGTGAGTTTACACAAGCAGAATTATCCTGATAAAATGAAACACAAATTAATGTAACATAACTATTATATGTTTCATTATATGTAAATGGTTCAATAGATTTGAATTCTGTTTGATATACTATAATTACATTTTTTTCTCTACTTTATCATTTCTTCAGGATTTATGATAATCATCAGGGCCATAGTTTTTTTGTTATCCATTAGCATTAATCTCTGTTATTCTTTAACTCATATTCATTGAACTTCACACTGGTCACAAAATAAAGACCTTGACCGGACTCTTTTAGTTACAGACCTTTAGTTACAAAGAACAGAGGGAAGCTGCTTCTTGATATTACAGAAAACCTGTTCGGTACAGTAAGATAAAGTTACTATATACTATGGTTCTGGTATCTCATTTAATAAAAAAATACCAGTTTTTGAGGTATTTTGACTGAGGGTTTTGACTGGTATGTCCCTAACAGAGAAGACAGAACCCATCTGAGAAAGTCTTTGAGTAGAAAGTGGGGTTGATAATCTGAATCAAGAAGAGATGATTGTCATTGGCTCAAAGAATATTGAGACTTTTGGGGCACCTGGGTGGCTCAGTCGGTTGGGCATCCGACTTAAGCTCAGATCATGATCTCACGGTCTGTGAGTTCGAGCCCCGTGTGGGGCTCTGTGCTGACAGCTAAGAGCCTGGAGCCTGCTTCAGATTCTGTGTCTCTCTCTCTCTCTCTGCCCCTTCCCTGCTCATGCTGTGTCTCTCTCTGTCTCAAAAATAAATAAAAACATTTTAAAAAATAATAAAAAATGCTATCTTAAAAAAAAAAGAATATTGAGACTTTTTGCAGTTTTCGAAGGTATACAGGGCTTTTCACAAGAGTTTTCAAGATACGGAAAAGAGGAGAATATAGAGTAAGCTGCCATGAGCTGGAAGACATGATGCTATGTGGTTGTTTTTGTCTTTGTCACCTGGTGTATTGGTATTGAGACTCAGATCAGAGACTGATGAAAACATATCAAGAAGCCAAGTTGTTCTAGGGAGGAGATGGCACTAACATCTACTTAGTGTATAGATTTCTGTATAAGCAACATGGGAGGATAAATGGGTCTAGAGTCAGAACAGGACTTCATAGGACTGAGAGGCAGAAAGACCTCTATTAAACACCTGTTATCAATAATGAGGGAGGGGAAGGTCTTTCAGTGATTGTGGACATAGCTAACCAATATAGTCTCAGTAGCATGTATCATTCAGCATTTATGTTTTCTTTCTCATGTCTGTGGGTCAGGTGGGGGTTGGCCGATCAAGGATTTGCTCCATATGTCTCTCTTCCTCATTGGACCAGCAGGCTAGCTGAGGCATGTTCTTCTCATGACGATGCCAGAGATGTAAGAAGTGGAAAAACACAAGACCTCTTATAGCCTGGGCTCAAAACTGACCCAGTGTCACTTCTGCCTTGTCCTAGTGGTCACAGCAAATCATGTGGCTGCAAAAAAGTCAAAGAGCAGGGAACTAGGCTCCACCTCTTTAGTGGGAGGCAAAGTCACATGGCAGAGGGTGTGGATATAGGGAAATGGGAAGTATTGGGGCCAATAGCGTGATTCTCCACAGACACTAAAGTTTGAAATTAAAGTTTATAGATAACTTTCTGGAGTTCACATTCAAGTGTGAGTATGCTCTGATAATTTGCTATAATTGACCTCTGGAAATGATACTAGTGCTTCATCTGCTTTTTCAGAGCTCTAAACTTCAGAAGGAATGAGAGAAAATTTTTAAAACTACCCACTTACCAGTTACTTAGAACTTGTCCTGTTTCTCTTTAAGTGTGTGGATAAGTAAGACCTAAATAGACCCGAGTGCCTGGGATGTTAACTGCAATTCTAGCCTTTAGTATTAAAAGGATATTTTAGGGACACCTGGATGACTCAGTCAGTTGAGCATCTGACTTTGGCTCAGGTTGTGATCTCACAGCTTGAGAGTTCGAGCCCTGCGTGGGGCTCTGTGCTGACAGCTCTGAGCCTGGAGCCTGCTTTGGATTCTGTGTCTCCTTCTCTCTCTGCCCCTC